CTTGGGCCCATGCGGGTACCCATGGCTACCCCCTTTGTCTGTAGGAAGTGGGAGGAATTGAAAGAGAAGTTGTTGAGTGTGAGGAGGAGTTCGGCTAAGCGGATGAGGGTATCAGTGGAGGGGGACTGGTCGGGCCTGTGGGACAGGAAGAAGCGGAGGGCCTTAAGGCCATCTGCATGGGGAATGCAGGTGTAGAGGGACTGGACGTCCATGGTAAAGATGAGGTGTTGGGGACCGGGGAATTGGAAGTTCTGGAGGAGGTGGAGGGCGTGGGTGGTGTCACGGACATAGGTAGGGAGTTCCTGGACCAAGGGGGAGAAAATGGAGTCTAGATAGTTGGAGATCAGTTCGGTGGGGCAGGAGCAGGCGGAGACAATGGGTCGACCAGGGCATTCAGGTTTGTGGATTTTGGGTAGGAGATAGAAGCGGGCAGTGCAAGGTTGGGGAACGATGAGGTTGGAGGCCGTGGGTGGGAGGTCACCTGAGGTGATAAGGTTCTGGATGGTTTGGGAGATGATGGTTTGGTGCTCAGGGGTGGGGTCATGATCGAGGGGGCGGTAGGAGGAGGTGTCGGAGAGTTGGCGTCTGGCCTCGGCGATGTAGAGGTCAGTGCGCCACACTACAAACCTGATCCAATATGTCAGAGCAGGTGACTGCAAACCCCTAGAGTGTTAATAAAGCAAGATATTTATTCTGTGAGGTGTACGATAGGTTAATTAGACATGGAAGGCCATAAGCTTGATTTCAGTTCAAAATATCAATAATTGATTTTTTGTAAGGAAATCTGCAGATTAATGTTTTTAGAACAATTTAAAGGACACCTAAAGGTCAGAAGCAGATATAGTTTTGCTCTTAGAAAGGAGTTTCTCAAAGTACTTGAGGGAATAACTTGCCTCAGCAGAATTGCAGTTTGTACAGTTTCTATACCATGATACTGTGGTTAGAAATTTGCAGGTTATTAGAAGCTGAAAAAATTTAAGCTCTCAGTTTTTCTTAATGTGGATTTGCATAAGAAGACTCCACAGTTCATAGGAAAGAAATCAGAGAGAACCATTAAACAAAACTTAAAGAATTGACGTACAAGAGTAAATTCTCTGAACTTAAATGTTGAAATTTAAGCAAAAGTTAAATTAAGACCATAAGACAGAGGAGCAGAAATTGGGCCATTCGGCCCATCGAGTCTGCTCCGCCATTCAATCATGGCTGATAAGTTCCTCAACCCCATTCTCCCGCTTTCCCCCCATAACCCTTGATCCCCTTAATAATCAAGAACCTATCTATCTCAGTCTTAAATGTACTCAATGATCTGGCCTCCACAGCCTTCTGTGGCAGTCAATCCCATAGATTCACCACTCTCTGGCTGAAGAAGTTTCTCCTTATCTCCATTCTAAAAGGTCTTCCCTTTACTTTAAGGCTGTGACCTCGGGTTCTAGACTCTCCCACCAATGGAAGCATCTTCCCAACATCCACTCTGTCCAGGCCATTCAGTATTCTGTAAGTTTCAATTAGATCCCCCCTCATCCTTCTAAACTCCAATGAGTATAGTCCCAGAGTCCTCAAACGTTCCTCATACGTTAAGCTTTCCATTCCTGGGACCATTCTCGTGAACCTCCTCTGAATCTGCTCCAGGGCCAGTACATTCTTCCAGAGATATGGGGCCCAAAACTGCATGCAATACTCCAAATGTGGCCTGACCAGAGCCTTATAAAGCCTCAGTAGTACATCCCTGCTTTTATATTCAAGTCCTCTCAAAATAAATGCCAACATTGCATTTGCCTTCCTGACTACTGACTCAACCTGCAAGTTTACCTTGAGAGAATCCTGGACTAGAACTCCCAAGTCTTTTTGCACTTCAGACTTCTGAATTTTCTCCCCATTTAGAAAATAGTCCATGCTTTTATTCTTCTTACCAAAGTGCATGACCTCACACTTTCCCACGTTGTAGTCCAACTGCCACTTCTTTGCCCACTCTCCTAACCTGTCCAAATCCTTCTGCAGCCTTCCCACCTCCTCATTACTGCCTGTCCCTCCACCCATCTTTGTATCATCTGTAAACTTAGCCAGAATGCCCACAGTTCCTTCATCTAGATCATTAATGTATAAAGTGAAAAGTTGTGGTCCCAACACTGACCCTTGCGGAACACCACTTGTCACCGGCTGCCATCCTGAGAAAGACCCTTTTATCCCCACTCTCTGCTTTCCGCCAGACAGCCAATCTTCCATCCATGCTAGCACCTTGCCTCTAACGCCATGGGCCCTTATCTTACTCAGCAGCCTCCTGTGTGGCACGTTATCAGAGGCCTTCTTGAAGTCCAGGTAGATAACATCCATGGGCTATGGAAGACTTTGTTTTGCTGTGTGCTTTAAGAGTTTTTAAAACTGTATTCTAAATAGTTTGTTTCTTTTTGTACCTTTAGTCTCTAATGTTTTTTCAGTCACTTCATTTTCAGGCTCTTTTTTGTCCTCTGATACTGGGCTTGCAGTTGGTCTTGAAGAGACCTCACTTTCACTGATGAGCGCGGCTGTCTCTGGAGGTACTAACTGTTCCTGCTTTTCTGTCTGATCAGACAGCTCCTCCACTTCATTCTCTTTGCGATCTAGAGGGAAATCAGTCAAATTTCAAGTTCAGTTCATATCAAAATGGAACAGTTACTGATTTTAATAATATTTTTGAAGTAAGCTGATTTCAAATTTTCTCCAATCAGCCAGAAACTTTTACCTTGAGATTAATACAGCGATTATTTAGTAATTGTGCAGATAGAATTAGGTGTCAAGATGTCATTACTCTCCTGGAAATGTCCAACAGTAATTATAGCAGCATAGTGTACTTCATGAATGGTAGAGTCAATCAGTTGTCTCATGTCAACTTGGGAATCAGATGGTTATGATTTCTGTCCCAGTTCACAGACGTGATCCCTGAATGTAGTCTCACACCGTTAGTAGTACTGAGGGAGTGTTGTACCATCTGATCAGTCGTTACAACTGAGGCTTCTTCTGCCCTCAAGTGAGCAAAAACGATTAACTGCCCATTTTATATCATTGTTACCTGTTATACCATGCTGGTCATAAATTGGTTTTCTCCATTTTTGGTTGTAAAGAATTTACAATGGTGCCTTATTGGGCAAAGAAAGAGAGGATAGGAAATGCTGGCACTGCCTAAACAGGGAAAAAAAAACTGGGACGTATGAAATGGAAGCTTTCTTGAAGATCTTCACCTTTCATAGGAGATGGATTAAGGTTAAGGCAGGGTTACTTTAATGTGACTGCTGCTGAGGAATTGTGGTGATCTTTAAAATTGAATCATACCTTGCCAAAGTTGTGACTTGTGACTTCACTTAAAATTTGCATGTCTTGTGAATGTGCTTGTACTGATGTGGTGACTGGGATGGCAGTGGTACCACAAGCTGCAATCAGGTACCACTGCAGCCCTCTGAAAGAGCTGAAGTGGGGATGATGATGATGCCACACAGTAAGTGGAGGAACACAAGAAACTAAGGTTGAAGTAAATGGTGCAGACTTAACAGGAGAATGCAGGGCTAACTTTGAGAGTTCACTTTTTATTTAGGTTGTATAGTTTGAAGATAATAATACAATTTCTACATCGGGAAACATTAGTTTTGGATGGGTCCGGGAGGATGGTACCAACAGCCACCAAGGGCATCTGTGGCTATTTCTTTGGGAAATACAAGTAGTTTAAGTACTGTGGTATTCAGCTGCAGATTGCATGGTCCACCATTGCAATGGGTGGACTGAAGATCACCCATTTTTCAGGTGCAAGGAGAGAACAGACTAGAGGAATAGTATGTGCTTCTGAACTTCAGTCTACACTCACAGGTCTATCAGGAGCAGGGCTCAAAGCTTGCCCATTCTAATTCTAGAGTAAGAATAATAGCACTAATCAAAGGCTGACTACATTAGATCCATTAATTCTACCAATGTCACAACAACAAACAATGAATCAGTTGCAGGATAACACCTTCCAGTGTAATTTCTTGCACAATTTGTTCTTTGAAGGAAAAATTACAGTGATCTTCAGTTAAAGCAACATCAGTAATGCATTAATAATCTAAGTCCTGGTCCTAAGAAACTTCCACCATTTATTGTTCACCCTGTGTTGAACAACAGAAGATGAGTTCTATTCATTTTCACAGCAGAAATAAAATGTGTTGTACTTGTCTGTTCTGATTTGCTCACTGAAGATGAGCAAAAGGTTCCCATTTTTAGGTCGATAATACTTAGTCTACAATTTTACCAAAAAACAACAGACCAATGTAGGTCAGAGTCAACAGAAAAAAAACAACAATTTGCATTTAGAACTTAGAACTATACAGCTCAGGAACAGGCCCTTCAGCCTACGATGTTGTGCTGAACATGATGCCAAATTAAACCAATCCCTTCTGTCTGCCCTTGGTCCATATTCCTCCATTCCTTGCATATTCATGTGCTTATCTAAAAATCTCTTAAATGCCCCTAATTGTACCTGCCTCCATCACCACCCCAGCAGTGCGTTCCAGACTCCAACCACTCTCTGTGTAAAAAAATTGCCCTTTGCATCTCCTTTAAACCTTCTCCCTCTCAATTTAAATGCATGCCCCCTAGTTTTATACTCTGGGAAAAAGATTCTGACTGTCAACCCTATCTGTGCATCTCATAATTTTATAGACTTCTATCAAGTCTCCCTTCAGTCTCTGCCGTTCCAGAGAAAACAACCCGAGTTTTCCTAGCATTGCGTTTATATTGCATCTTTAATGATGTAGAACATGCCAAAGTGCTTTATTACTAAATAATCAAACAAGACTTGACATTGAGCTGCATAACATGCTTGAACATATGATTGTAAATTTGATCAATGAACTGGATTTTAAGAAGAGTCGCTGAAAAGGAGAGACATGGAGAGGGGTGAAAAATAAAATGAACGAGTTACAGAATTTATTATCAGGTTTGTTATTCATGGTTACGTTAAAACTATAAGAAAACGTACATTATATGAACATGGGAAATTTGGATGAAGTAATATCAGTCACAGCAATTTCCAAACTACATTTCTACTTGGACAGAAACTAAAACAGTGTTTCAGTGTGCAGTTTATTTCTAAGCACATACCATTTTCACCTCCAGTGACTTCCACGGGTCTATTCTTGGCTTGTTCCTGTTCTTCTTGGATTAGACTTTGTTCTTTGTAGTAATCCAATAATTCAAATGGAAGTTTCTCGCCTGGTTGTCTTGGCGGCAGCAACAAAGTGTTATCTAAGCTATAGCCCTTCATCATCCTCAGCACCTTTCATGTGAACATGAAGCAGAGGGTTCAGCATTAAGGAGGTTTAATTTATTTTTAAAACATGTGTTCTTTTAACAAAAATGTTTTAATCAACAGGCAGTAGTGTATAGCTGTTTTAACGAGTTATACCACAGAATACTCGAGTATCTGTTACTCCCTAAACTGGCAGTTTCTTAACTCTGTCCTGCCTGCAACCAGACACAACATGTATAATTTTACCTACTACAATTTTAATATTGCTTCAATATCATAAAAAAATTCCTCTCCTTCTCCAGCAGCTTTCGCCGGGAACAGCAAGTACACATCACATTCTAAAGGTCAACATGTAGATTTGAAGGAACCTATTCCCAGACCTCCCTCAACACTGCTCTAAATTGTCTACTCAAAGATGTTCAGCACAACTTGATGTCGATTCTCTGTCTGCCTAGCCTCCCTTCCTCTCCATGGCTAACAGACTATTAATCCATGTCTATTGCTGTATGTCACTGTATCATGCAATGTTGCAGGGAAGTCTGGTTGGCTGAATTATAACGGTAATGATAAAGAAAAGTTCCAAGCAGCAACATCCTTTGACTCCTTGGAACAGCCCACAAACTCCTCAAGGACCAAATATTTCGTCAAAGACCAATAGCTGATGGCAATAACATTGAAATTATTCACTTTGAGGCGTTAAAAATGCATTTTTAAAAAAGAAATTTGAAATAGTATTCATTCATATTAAACGAAATGCCAGGTCAACACAGGACAAAGTTCGGAAATGAGCTAGATTGATTTTAACTCTGTGCAACTAAATGGGTTCGAGTGAATCTCACGTTATATTTAACCAGCCTTTGTTAGCGAACTAGCTTGCCAATGTAAAACCATATCAGAATTTTGGCCACAGCTCGTTTATCACATCCTTCAGACTTGTTTGTATATACCACCAGCAAAACCTCTATTATTTCAATAGTCACTGAGATCTTTCTGGGATTAGCTCCATCTGACATATTTACAGGAGACAGCCAAATAAGTCCTACAGCAGCAAAATCGTGAGCTTCCGGCTGCCAGCCACTACCTGCTGCAGCATCCACTGTGCCATTTTCAGCGTCTTAACAAAGTCAACTTCAAACAGTCAAGACAGTCATTCATCTTGATCTTCTTTTGCCCTCCAAGTATGTCTGTGACAAAATATAGCCTCCACTGATTTGTAATCACCTTCTCAATCTGCTTTGAAATGCACCTCCAAATTTAATGACTTCCTTTCTATATTCCTTGAAAGTCAATCTTTAATGTGAATGTCTCCAAACTAAAACCATTCAGCCCGATGCTCTCAGATTTAGTAAATCTGAAATCCTTCATTCACATTTAAAATTGTCAAACGTACGCATAAAAGAAACAATTTATTGCCAAACTGAACACAGGAAGTAAAGGGAAACTCCTTGGCTTGGTAGAAAATAGTAGTGCAACACTCCAGAGCCTAGGAATTTAATATGGAGTGTGCTCAGATAAGGTTACTCTTAATCTTAAATGTGGCATACTATTTGACACTCCATCTGCTTGTTTTAATCATAGTTAAAATTTCATTTGTTTATGTATTCATAATACAAGCAGTAAAACTGTCATTTTAGAACACTCTGTGACTCAACTGATGACCCATCATAGTTCCAAACAAGGCAATCCTTTTCTGTTAACATGTATCTTAGCCAGACAGACAATGATTAGCCTAAAATCTCCACAGCATCTCATCATTGTCTAAAGGAATTTGCTGGTTATTGCATACGCGGATATCAGATGAACATGGGCTTGGAGTCAGAAAGGGAATCAAGATTGGCTTTGGACTGACAGGAGGCTGAGGCTGGGATGGGGAATGGGACAGGGACTAGGACTGTGATTGGAACTTGGGCTGAGACTGCAAAGGGATTGTAAACAGGGATGGGGCTGCAGCTGGTATTGGGACAAGGACAGGAACTGGATTGAGTTGGGCATTGATTTGCAGCCTGGCTCTTATGAAATTAATGGAATTAAATCACTGATCTGCTCCATCAGTTTATCCCCCTAGTCAGTGAGGATGAATATCCACTCCTACATATCTAAGCAATTCAATATTGTCAGCTCTCCAGAGACCTTTTCTTCCTCCAAGTACTTGTTATCATATTCCACCGAGTAGAATTCAATGGGAAAGGTGCAGGGATTCTTTACAATCACTATCCCTTCGACCTCTGCACTGTAGGGTAAAAGCGGACCCAGTTCCAATGAACTTGTAGAAAATTCAAGACGAGGCTCCAGTCCTTGGCCAATGGCTGTGATCAGCACCTGGTTACTACTCTGTGCAAAGGTCAACATCAAACGATGCTTATAACGTTTCTGCCAATTGTGGGGAAAAGAAAACATAATCAAATCTCATCTTTCAATAAATGCTAATATTTAAATGTATATTAATTCATATAAACATTTTTGTTAACAGTCATGTTACTAAAAAGATGCTACTATCTATATGGCCTTTTCCTGCTCCTAATTCATATACTTATGTTACCAGCTATAACTTGTCCAACATAAGTGAAGGATTTGATGGGGTAAATGGGAGAAACTGCTCCTGCTGGCAGGACTATCCATGATAAGAAGTCAGAGATTTAAGTCAATCGGCAAAAGACCCAGTGGGGAAACTAGGAGAATTTCTTTTCTGCAATGAGCTACGATCTGGAATGCATTGACAGCAAGGGCCGTGGAAACGAATTCAATGGTAACTTTCAAAAAGGAATTTGATCTGTGCAGAAAGAACAGAGGCAGTATGATAAATTGCACAGCTCTTTCAAGTGCCAGCACAAGATAGCATGAGCTAAATGGCCTCCCTCTGTGCTGTACCATTCTTTGGTTCAAAGATGTGATAAAGAATGGATGATTTACACCAAAGCACCCTCTGGAATCATTCTCCTCATTTTTCTGGCTCTCACTCACAGTTGTGGATGCCTGAGCACGTGGATTATTACAGGTTTGTCTTAGATCTTGCTAAAATAGCAGTTTTAAGTTAGGCTAATTCTGGATATCCATCCAAACTAATGCCTGCTCTTTTCATGCACAGGTTGCTTGGTTTGGCTTTTCCCTCATCCAGTTCTTTGGAAAGCACCAAGCCTTTGCTCAGTGATTGAACTGTGATCAGAAGCTTACACATAATTTGTAATCAACCTGTTTGGAAACATTACCGATGCATTTTCTACCAGACTTTAAGGCTGGTACTTTATTCTTTCTTGTCTTTGAGAAACTCACCTCCTCATCTGGAATGAATGTCACCTGCACATTCACTTTTGCCCCAGCCTCCAGCACACCACAAGCTGGCAACATGCGGAATACGTAGGATGGTTGCTTCAACTCCTTCAGTAGTTTGGATCGCAGGTACAGGGGAACATGTTTATCAAGCTATTTAAATGACAAAACCCAAAGCTGGGTAAACAATGTGACTAGCACCAGTTAATAAAATATATTTGACATGGTATTTTACAGCAAGAGGCCATTTGGCCCAACATATTTACACTAACTTTAATCTTCCAACTTCCCCTTAAATTCCTCTCTATTAATCACCTCAGTATACTATGTCATAGTGAGTTTCATATTCACACCACTCTCTAGGTGAAGAAGGTCCTCCAGATTTTCTTGCTGCAGTTATTACTATTTGTGTTACTTTTATGACTTAGACTCCTCTATCAGTGAACCTTTCTTTATGTCTATTAATAACTGCATCTTACTGTAAAACAGAAAAGTCTTTTTTTTACCTTTTCTTTTACAACACTGGTATCAGCAAAAAACCATTCACAGGTAACATCCAGATGGTTGTGGAGTTGAATAGTCATAACCTGACATTGCCCACATTGCACATTGCCAAAGTCCAGGTGATCACTGGATACAGTCAAGCCAGGCATGGTCACTGTTGCACACAGGATTATATCCACTGATGGCCCACCTATAACCTGATCAAAATATTGGATGTATAAGTAAACTAATTCACAGAATGGATCAACTATCATCATCTTCTTCTGCTTCACTCTCGACTGAACCAGACTCAAAAAACATTTGAGAAGCAGACGTCTAAGGAATGTTTGTTGTTTTTAAGTGAATTCTCTCAATCAATTTGGCCACTAATAAACTAAACTAAACCACAATGTCCCTCTTGGAAACAGGAATTTCTTTGGAAAAACTGGAAAAAAGACAGCAAGACTAACTTCAAGTACCCTCAGTTAACCAGAGAGAAATTCCCTTGGGTTTCCACCCGATCACTATCCTTTTGGGTCTGATGATCAGTCTGCATGTGTACTCCTCAAGTAAGGACCAGACTCTGTTCTGATGTCTTCAATGACAGAGTAACCTGCAATAACAAAACTGACCAAAGGGAAATTGTGAAATGAGCAAGGAACCTCAGCAAGTCATCATCATGGAACTGTAACCCTAGGAGCAGCTAAGACGCTGAGGAGAGGAGACAGGGAGAAAACCTGCAAAAGTAAGGAAGCAGATGTAGAGAATCAGAAATGAGCTTTGGCTGTTCTTTTAAATTCCTCATGTTATGGGTACATTTTTCACTGCTGGTACCAAAGCAAGAGCAGAAATCTGTGAAACCATCGACCTGAGCAATCATTGGTGATGTTAGCACTCCTAACATTTTAAAAATGTTTCCACCCCATAAAAACTACTGAGCTACTGAGACTATGCTTCTGGCATTAGATTAATCCCACTTCCATGTTGTTGCCATATAAATATAGTGGTTACAAGAGCAAGTCAGAGGCCAGGAATACAGCAGCAGTTGACTTACCTCCTAACTCCCAAAGCCAGTCCACCATTCACAAGGCACAAGTCAGGTATATGATGGAATACTCCCCACTTGCATGGATGAGTGCAGTTCAAACAACACCATCCAGGACAAAGCAGCATGCTTTATTGGCAGAAGCAGAAACATTCACTCCCTCCAACACCAATGCTCTGTAGCAGCAGTATTTACTATTGCTGTACATTGTAGAAATTCACCAAAGATCCTTAGACAGCACCTTCTAAATCCTTGACCACTTCCATCTGTGTCAAGGCTAGCAGATACATGGGAACATCAACACCTGCAAGTTCCCCTCCAAGCCACTCAACATTCTAACTTGGAAATATATCACCATTCCTTCACTGTCACTGGTTCAACTCCCTTCCCTGATGGTATGTGGATCTACTTACAGCACATGGATTGCAGCTGTTCAAGAAGGCAGTTCACCACCACCTTCTCAAAGGCAACTAGGGACTGACTATAAATGTTGGTGCAGCCAGCAACGCCCACACCTGATGTCAGAATAAAGAAAATCTGATTGCATTTGATTTTTAAGGGAGATAGAAATTCCAATAATAACTGGCCAACTATAATGGGATGTTGGCCAGTAATGACCTCACTGAGTACTCATGTATCAAAGTTCACCCAGCACCTCCAATTAGATTTAATACAGATATTCTAAAACATTTACAAAACAACAGTGGCAGCAGAAGCAGACAGTTTATTGGGTTGTCCATCTCCATGCCAGTGAAACAGGTGGCAGATCTGACTTCATTCCAACCTCACTTCCCCCTGATAAAAATCCCGCTGGCTGGTACTGCCAGCATAGAGGTGGGATTGCAACATTGGCAAATTTCTCATTTGCGATTAATATCTTCAACATGAAAATCCTCCCTACAGGTTTCTGAAAGCACAAAGGTAAAGGGCTCATATGTTACAGAAAATGCAATTTGGTCTTGAGAAAGACAAAGTAACATACACTGCCATTATCAAAAATGTTATTCTTTTTTGAAATTTAGAGAAACTTCGAATTCTCCAAACAATTATTTGTATGAACTCATAAAACTTAAAAAGCTTGGATCATTTTATAATCCTATGAGCACGCAGTAAGGAATGATAAAGAGCTTGCAACAGTCATGAGGACCTGGAAATGTTGAACGAGTTCTAAATATATGGACATTGCCAGAGCTATGCCTAAAAATGGTGATTTGATTGGCCAACTGTAGCATAAGATTGATTTTAACAGGACAGTATGATCTTATCAGAGAAATATCCCACCCACCTTGGAGAGAAAAGATATAAAAATCATTACATGGTTCAGTGCCTAGCCAAGCAATCTGGTCAGTTGCTAGAGTTACAATCGGCAGGGAATTGGCCACTCCGATTCACCATTAAGGTTTGTTAGGATCATCATACTTGAGGGTTGTCTGTGGGGAACCACCCCTGAGCTGGGCTGCTGTGCTCAAATACAGCCCTGTACTCGAACTTGCTGCAACTACACAGGAAAGTAGGATATGGTATGTTTTGACATGTATTTCTGGCTAACTGTAATGGGTGTTTTGTTATGGGAACGATTCTATTGTTCAAACTTGCCATGAACATTGGCGTATGTGACCTCTGAAGCCTTGCAAATTCCCTCTAAAAGCAGAGGTTCAATTTACAGGATAAGCTTAAAAGTGAACCACTAACGTGGGTGTAGGTGGTCACTATTTTGAAACGTCATCCGCATCAATGCAAAAAATTGGATGTGTTATGAACTTCTACACATCCTCACAACACAGCCTACATCGTCTCCTTGATCCCTGATGGTCAGTTATAAGGTAAGCAAGACATGCATTCCTGAGATGTAAAATTAATCCTGATTACTAATATGAGTGTAGCATGCAGTTAGCTGAGAAGGGGGGTCAGCTTAAATGCTGGGAAAATGTAAAAAACATGGGTTCTGGGGCCATCAAATTACGGTCAGCTTGTACAACTGGTCAAAATATAAATCGTGAGTGATGGTAGGTAAGAAATTAGTGTTAAATTTGAACTTTGAGTAATGTATCATCATTATCTCCCATGATTCCCTATGTGAACTGTAGAATAATCAGGTGCAAGAAAGTTACAATCCCAGTGTTTGCTCGTCAACACCCAGTTGGAATTTTGTTCTGTGGGGAACCTATAGGTTCTGTCTGGAGGGATTGCTGGGGATGGAAACTATTGCTGTATTTTATTGGGATAAGAACCAGAAGACTGTGACAGCATGAGTCTCTTATCACTATGCACCCCAATTGGATCTGATATTGCTCCACAGACTTCCTTTCATGAAGATTTATCCCTCAGTTGAAAGGGCTTCCCAGAAAGAACAGGTTGAACCAGTGAGTGACAGAGTCCAGTAAATGGACAGTGCCCACCTATCTGCTGTTGATGTCTGGACCACAGCCTGCAGGGTTAACTTACATTGTATGCTGCCAAACATATCATATTTAAGACAAACACACTCACAAACACTTGTGAGCTGCAGCAGCTATTTACGGTGTATAAAGTCAGTTTCATTGTTCACTGGAATTTCAATTTTAATCAGGAACAGGTTTCAAGGGGCAGTAGACTTGCCACTCCCCTGGGGAATCAGTTTGTATCCCACACTAATTCCAGCCAGACACAGTGCTAATTTTCTCACTCTCAACAACTAGTTTAATATCCTCTGGTGTTACTTTTTCAGGCTGACTGACTGTTAAACTGCTTGCAAAGTGTGAAAGAAGCATTATCATAGTCAACTGAAACTGTCCAGATTACTTGTGCTAAGTTTTCCCTGCTGAAAACATAAGATTTAATTTGTCAGCACTATAGTGATCATTATTGTCCAAAAATAAGATTGTAAATATTTCTAGAAAAACATCCAAAGCAGAGATGACAGCTGCAAGAGAGAAGCAAACAGGATGCTGCTCCCAGTACCTGCCAATATTGTTTTCCAAACAGTGTGAGAGGTGTCAGGATGACTCAGCTTTTGATCATCCTCCCCATACTGGTGCAGTGCTTAAAATCAAAGTACCCAACCGTGTGAAGAATCACAGATGCCAACTGTTCTCTGGTACATGACATGGCTTGGGAGCATTTTGATATAAAATAATTACAGCCGCCAAGTTTCTGCAAGAGTGACAGATGTAGCGTTCCTGCTAAATTACCTTAACCCACTTCAGAATAGCACAGCAAATGAAAACTGCTGGTCTAAATAATGCAACACGCCAACTTCAAAGTATTCTAATACAAAAATATGCAAAGGGATTAAGTAAAACCAGACCTTTGAAAAATGGGAGTGATGGTTTTTTTACACACCTGTATCGACATCAAAGCTTTTGTAGGTCCAATACTGAGGTTTGCACGAAGGGGGTCAAACCGTACTTCAAAAGTCTCTGTTTCACAATAGGGCAGATTTTTCACCCTGTTCAGCTCAGTGCTGAAACCTATAATACAAATCACATCAGGAAAAACAGGAAAGACAGAAATCTTACATTTTACCTGTAAGGCAATATTATTAGAATAGACAGCAGTTACTTACAAGGTGAGGGTATCAAGTTTTATTTCTGTTCTAATGTACAATGCCTTTCCACATAGTTGCACGACAAGAGAAAGTAGAATGTTTGTATCTGGGAAAATCATAATGTATGGCCAGCAACTGAATTATTCCGAGTGAGTTAAAGCCTGAGATCTGGCTAAGATTTCTAATGTTTTACATATAGAATAATAAATAGGCAAAAGTGAGTTTCAGGGTGTAAACTGATTGAGAGGTTCAGACGCTCCATCAGAACTGGAATGTAGTACAAGGAAGAATAATTATGGCACTCAAAGACAAGTCTTTTATACCAATATATGAAACTGCCAGAAAGGTGTAATTCAAGCAGGAGATACAGATCTGACTGACTGATTTTGGTCCTTCTGATGAAATGTTAAATTCAGTTCAGACAGGGTCTTGTTTATTGATGGTTTTATAACCTTGGTTCAACCTGCAATGGGTGATCACTGTGGCCATTTTGTGTTTTTAAGGTTTATCTTTAGCCATGTTTAAAACCATTTTAGTCAATGAAAAGTCCTAGGTATTGAAATCTGATAATGTAAGTTGACAATTGATTGTACATTTTTACTTTAGGAACTGTTCCAGAGTTTGTAGAATCTTGAAAGATGACTATCAATCCATCTACTATATCTAGGGCCACATCCTTAAGTACTCTGGGATGTAAATTATTGGGCCCTGGGTCAGTACCAGTATTTAATCACATCAATTCCCCCAATACCATTCCCAGACTAATACAATTTCCTTTAGTAGCTCCTCCCTGACACTAGACTCTGTGCTTCCCAACACTTTTGGAGCATTATTTGTGTCCTCTTGTGTGAAGACAGAACCAAAATATGTAGTAGAGATAGTAGGAACTGCAGATGCTGAAGAATCTGAGATAACAAGGTGTAGAGCTGGATGAACACATCAGGCCAAGCAGCATCAGAGGAGTAGGAAAGCTGACGTTTCGGGTCTAGACCCTTCTTCAGAAAAATCCAGCTCTACACCTTGTTATCTCAAAATATGTGGTAAATTGGTCTGCCACCTCTTTGTTCTCCATTATAACTTCCCTGGTTCTAATTGTGATGGACCTACATTTATCTTCACTAATCTTTTTCTCTTCACATACCTTTGGAAGCCCTTACAATCAGTCTGTATGCTCCCCACAAGCTTACTCTAATACTCTATTTTTGCCCCCTTAATCCTTTAAATCTTCCTCGTGGCTGTCTCTGTCAATCTGACTTTTCCAACTACTGATGACTGCACAATGTTCACACAATTCGCAACTCCTCAAATACTGAAGCGGTCCATGTTCAAATGCAACGAGATACTGGCTTGGGCTGGCAACAAACATTCGCACCACAGAAATACCAGGCAATAGCCACCTCAAATAAAACACAATCTAACCACCGCCCTTTGACATTCAATAGATTGAATCCCCCACTATCAATATCCTGTGGGATTACCATTGACCAAAAACTTAACTGAACTCATCAATGGATACCAGAGCATGTCAGAGGCTATAAATACTGTGACAAGTAACTCACTTCCTGACTCCCCAAAGCCTGTCCATCATCTACAAGGCGCAAGTCAGGAGTGTGATGGAATACTTCCCCCTTGCCTGGATGGGTGCAGCTCCAACAACACTTGAGAAGCTTGATACATCTAAGACACACTTGATGAATACCACATCTACCAACATCTATCCCCCTCCACCATCAAGTAGCAGCAGTGTGTACTATCTACAAGATGCACTGCAAAAATTCACCAAAGATCTTTCGACAGCACTTTCCAAACCCTCAACCACATCCATCTAGAATGACATGGGCAGTAAGTACATGGGAACATCAACAACTGCAGGGCCCCTACAAGCCAGTCACCATCCTGACTTGGAAATATGTCGCTTTTCCTTCACTGTTGCTGGGTCAAAATCCTGGAATTCTCCCTCTAACAACATTGTGGGTCAACTCACAGCATGTGGCATGCAGTTCACCATCACCTTCTCTAGGGCAACTTGGGACGGGCAATAAATACTGGTCACCCATGTCCCACGAATGAATAAAAAATCTACATGAAGATTAAAGTCAACAATGATTAATGTACTGCTTCTTGTCCCTGTCCTCGTTATCGACTGATTTATTATCTGGCCTACCATATAGTTACTGTTAGAGGGCCTTTATACTACTCCTAGTAGAGTCTTCTTCTTTGTTTTAGTTTTATCTCCACCGATATAGGTTCTGTATCTTTCATTCCAAGATCATTTCTTTCTATTAGACTTATTTATTTTGTATTAATCATGCTATCACCATCATGCTTTCCTTCCTGCCTGTCATTTCAAGATACCATGTACTGATGAAAAGTTAGCTCCCAGCTTTGATCCACTCCCTTTACACCTTTGACTGTGTTGCCAAATTCTGAATGAATGCCATCTACAAGTTTGCTGACGACACTACTGTAGTGGGACAGATACCTAACAACGATGAATCAAACTACTGAAGGGTGATAGACGGCTTGGTGACGTGGTGCAATAAAAATAATCTTGTCTCTCATCATCGGCAAAACTTAAGAACTGATCATTGACTTCAGAAAGAAAGGATGAGAACACGCCCCCAGCTATGCCAACAGCACTGAGGTTGAGACGGTGAAGAGCATCAAGTTCCTCGGAGTAACGATAACCGACAATCTGTCCTGGATTTCCCACAAAGATGTGACATCCAAGAAGGCACAATAACGCCTCTTCTTCCTCAGGCAGCTCAGGAAATTTGGCATGTCCATAAGGTCCCTAACCAAATTCTACAGATGCACTATTGAAAGCATACTGTTCGGGTGCATAACAGCCAGGTATGCCAACTGCTCTGCCCAAGACCATAAGAAAACACAGAAGGTGGTGTGCACAGCCCAGACCATCACGGAAGCCAACCTTCCATCCATGGACTCTATTTACACGGCTCACTGCCGCAGAAAAGCTGCCAATATCATCAAAGGCCGATTGCACCCCAGTAATGATTTCCTTCAACCTCTTCCATCAGGCGGAAGATACAGAAGCCTGTACACACGCACGAGCAGGTTTAGGAACAGCTTCTTCCCAGCTGTTATCAGACTGATGAATGGACTCTCTAGCCTCAAATAATGCTGATCTTGCTAATCACCTAGTGCACGCCCTGTGCAATATAACCTGTATGCCTCTGTCTAAGTCCTTCTGATCTGTACATCCTTTGCTTACTACGATCTGCCTGTACCGCTTGTAAACAAAGCTTTTCACTGTATTTCGGTACACGTGACAATAAATAAATCAATCATTCAATCAATCATTCAGTCAATCAATCCTTGTAACCACCTCTATAATTGCTATAAGATCACACACCCATTAACCTGTATTTGTGCTGTTAAGCATTTATTTTGTTCCAAATACTATGCACATTCAAGTGAAGAGTCATTGGTTTTGCTCTTTTTACTACTTTTTTTTCCCTCTTTGATTCCATTTACCACTGTTTTTCTGTGTTTGTACACTCTGTCCCCTCCGGTCCCACTCTTGGTATTGTAATCCAAATGGCTGTTTTGCAATACCCCCATTCTTCAATTAGTTTAAAGCATGTATCAGCAAATAAAGGATATATCATCCAGTTGCAATCACTCCAGAGATTTTAACAAGAATACTTTTAGGGTAAAATTTCATATCCTCGAGTCAGGCATAGGGATCAGACTGTAACTTATCTGCAGATGCTTAGAGGGTTAAAAATGAATACAGTGGTTGTGCTGACATGGCGAAGAACAAAAGCATGATGAATATATGTGTTGGACAGTGTCAGCAGATAGTTATACATTAGGGATGTTTGATTTTAAACTAATTCAGAATCAGCTATTTCTGGTTTTAATATCCTTGAGAACAGCTAATAAAGTGTCTTATAGTTTAGATATCATTAGAATCAAAAGACCTTGATGAACTGGGAACTTTGTACAACCATCATTGACTCTCTCCACCAAAGGCATTATTTTCATTTAACTTACTATAGGAGGTTCTCTGCATTACAGATGGAGCTTGGAAAGGTATTCCAGTACCTATAAATACAATACCCATATCTCTTAAAACATCCCAAGTCATTTCAGAGGAGCTTAATCAGAAAAAATATGACACTGGGTCGAAGACAGAGATAATGGAATAGTCACATACAAATTTAATAAGAAATTTAGATGAAAATAATTTAACCAGGGGTGGTTAGAATGTGGAACTTTCTACTGGATAGAACAGTTGATTCATTTAAGGGAATGCTGTCAAGTATGAGGGAGAAAGAAACAGAAGATATATTGATAGGGTTACATAAAATAAGGTGGAAAGGAGACTCGTTTAGAGGACAGACATCAGTTGGGCCATTACCTAGTTCTGTGCTTTAAATTCTATTTAACCATACAGATGTTCTTGTGTTCCTAAATTACATGTTGATTACAGAACTACATCACCCATCCATCATCCTGCCATATATATAGGGCTCCAGGAATTGGGGCAGACTTGAATGAGGAAATCATCATGTAAAGTCAATCAAACGCAGAGCAATAGATTACACTGGACAATGAGGGACATTTAGCTTTTCTCTTCAAACATTACCACTGGTCACTAGAATACCAGGACTATTTGTTCACTCACTTCAGTCTCTCCTCTTGCAGACACTCAATTTGAACTTCCAAAAAAACTAGGCGAAGAGCCTTGATGGCCACAAATGCAGATGAGTTCAAGTCACAACAACTGAATTAATCAAAATAAAATGTTGGGGCTGGGCTTTCAATACTGAGGCATACAGTCTGAGTTGGAAAATTTCCTGGCTCAGCGGACCTTTTCAAGGTTTCAAGGGCCCTGTTACATGTAATCTTTGCTCTAGGGAGATGGGGTGGGAGAGGGTCTGACCTCTGGAAGCA